CCACGGGCACCCTCAGGTACACACACAGGCGCCAGCCCCATCAGCACTGCTCGGACACTGTGGCCATGGGACCCGCAGCTGAAGAAACAGCCCTGCTCAGTGTCCCGGCGGGTCTCAAGCAGTGGATCCTGCCTCCGCCAGAGCCCACGCTTCATCATCACGGCTTGGTCAGGGGGTGCTACTGACACTCAGCAGGTAGAGGCCAGGGTCACAATGCACAGGACAGCCCCTCCAGTGACAAAGAATTATTGGCTCAAAAGGTTAATAGTGCTGCTGGTGAGAACCCTGGGATATACGTCCCGAGACTGAAGTGAGGCTGAGTCGGCCCTTAGGTCAGTGTGAGGGCAAATGTGGGGAGCAGACAAGGAAATGAGGCGGGAACAGCCATACGCCAGAGCAGAGGACAGAGACGCGCGGCGGCTCCCGGGAGTCAGCCTCGGGGGACTGCTTCACGGGACTAAGCAGGTTGCAGCCGGCTAAACCGACGCTCGGCCTGGTGACTTCCGGCGACTCTGCTGTCCAAGCTCCCAGCAGCTGGGCCGCGCGCTCCCTCAAAAGAGATCCTTCACACTTCTCCTGACACCACGCGAACATGAGCAAGGGGGACTTTCCGGGAAAATAAAATGAAAAGAGAACGAGAGTCCCTAAAAGGAGAAGCGAGGCATGACAAGACGAAACGTCCTCTCCCGGTGAGACCTCTCCCTGCCAAGCTCTAGACTGAGCCAATCGTCCCATGAAAAGGTAGCACGGGCCTGGCGGTTTCTTCGAGCACCATCTCTATGGTATGCACAAATCACCTTGCCATGGAAAGTTCCCCAAAGCCATGCCTTTCCTGCCAAAGAAAAATGTAAACTAAAAGCAGGTCCCCTAAAACACCAACACTGAGAAGCCGGGGGAATGGCTGCTTGGGGACAATGAAGTCTACAGCTGGAGCCCAGAGAAGGGTGAATCCGAGGGGCTCCCACTGCTCAGAAGGCCACAATTGTAACAGGTGGAGTGAGCACCCTATGGGTTTTAGTCTCTTAGACTGCATGGTAGAGGGGGGAACTGTCCAGCTGGGTCCATGTGGCCACTGCCATCCTGCAGGACGGTGATGCCACCGCTAGGCACAGAGCTGGTCGCTGCTGCAAACACCTTCCTCTGCTTTTTCACTCCAAATCCTACTGGGATTTTCCCTGGTCTCAAAGAAAAGTCATATTTGAGCAAATGAAAGCTTTCCTTAAGCTGATCCTCTTAGGTTGAGGGAGACCAGAGGCAGGGACAGTTCCAGGACAAAGAGTCAGACGGAACCGCTGAAGGTCAGGCGCACCAACGGTGGGACACAAGGGGGTTGTGAGTGTTACCCTGTCAAGCTGTGGAGAAGAGTGCCCGGGAGAGCCGGAGGCTGCATCTGACGAGCGATGAGACCCGACACTCAGAAGGGTGATTATTCTGAGGGAGCTCATACCAGGAGTCTCCTTCCCCCCATGAAGGGGTGAGGGGAGCATAACTCTTACCACAGATTCAGTACTGTGCAAAAGGTGACTTATTCTTCCTACCGTGGAGGGTCTCTCTGTGCTTTAGAAAATGAACCTCCACAGCTCTTAGCAAACACAGACGCAGAAACAGGTCCTCTCCTTTAGCTTAAATTGGAGAAGCTCTTTCCTTGTTTTTCAAGATGTCTGCGTGAAGAACAGCAACTCTCCTCATTTCCCCACCGCCTCCCACTGGAAAGGACCTGAAACTCAGACTCTTTGGATCTCCGGGGACAAACCATAAATCCTGAAAATGATTGTATTCTTGAGCAGAAAAGAGTCTTCCTGTGATGTGACCTTGGTCAACCATGATCTGATAGCAGGGCCTCAGGTGCCATCTTGGGTCCGAGTAGGCAGTGAGGAGAGGCATGTAGAGGGTCGGGGGCCATGGAGGCACCCGAGAATGTATAAATGAGCAGTGAGAAAGAAGACTGAAGCTGGCCTGCCTGCAGACCTCCTCCCAGCATTCCTCAGGGTGCGTCATCTGAGATGTGACACGCCACACAACTGGTGTGGAACGAAGATGCAGGACAAGACAGCAGCAGGGTGCGGCCCAAACCCAGCTGGGCCTGAACGATCCCCTGGATGCTAATGACCCTGAGACCAGATGACGTCTTGCGTTTGTTGGGCAGTGCTGACCCCAAGGGAACATGGGGGCACCGAAGGCGAATGACCAGGCCAGAGACTAAACCCAGGGCACAGCTTCGGGCAACCCACATCTCTCCACTCAGGTAAGATGGGGTGTTGCACCTCCCAAGATGGTTGTGAGGATAAAGGAAAAGAGGTGTGTGAGACCCGCTCAGCGGCGAGGCGTGATGCAGGTGTACGTGGAGCAGGCAAGTGCCCAAGAGAAATGAGGCACAGGAAAGATGCCACAAAGCATGGACTCTGGTGGCATCTGGCAGTGCAATACTTCCTGCCTAAGCCCTGGGTGGCAAACAGTCCCCACTCAACCCCGTGCTCTGTGATTTGGTGTGGGGAAGGGACTGGACCACGCAGCAGAAGCCAGCACTGAGCATGTGCAGTAAACATGCTGGTCTCCACCCAGCCTTTACCTGGGCATCTCAGTCATGTAAACCATGCCCCAAGGTCCCGGTATGGGACTTGTGAGGAGGGAACAGGAGCAGCTCCGAAACCTTGCTGTTAAAAAGCAAAATCGAACAAGCCCAGAAGAGCAGGAGGAGCGTGGAACAGGGCATAGCCGTGCTGTGAAACTGCTGGGATGGAGACGTGGGCAGGCGGATGCGTCCCCGACGACACGAGCAGGGTGTTCTTGGTCTCAGGGGAGCCCTGACATATGTCTTCAGTCCCAGTGCCCGAGGGACCGTAGCACTTAGCTGTGGTCTACTGGAGCACATTGGCAGGAACCTCACTGCGTCTGTGCAAGCTCCCTCACAGCTGCACCCTGGCTTCATTTAAGTTACATAGCCAACAGCGGAAAGGAGCGGGCAGCCTCTGCTCTGGGGCTTCCTGGGAGGTGACGTCCATACCATGGAACCTTCCAGCGAGGGGCTAGCTGCTGATCTGCCCTTCTATGGAGGTGAGCATGCTCAGGGAGTGGCCTTCCGTGCATGACCACTACAAGCAGGAGCACACGCTTCAGGGTTAAAAAGTGAGGTTAGTTTGCTCGTTTAGTCACCCGAGGTTCGGGAAAAGTGCTCACCGAAGGCCTGG